CGGGCGAGGTCGAGGTCAGGCCGGGCTGCCCCAGGTCCCGGGGCCCCCGCCCCCAGAGCGGCCCGGCCGCGGGTGCGACAGCCGGGGGAGGGGGTGAGGGCGGGGCCTCGGAGGAGGGGACCTAGGGGAGGGGTTGGGGAGAGTATGGCGAGGTGTCAGGGAGGGTTGGACCGGCACTCGCAAAGCCACCAGGTCACCATAGGGTCCCACAGACAGTAACTTTCTGGTTGGCGTGCCAGGGACTTGACTTCCCCAAGGGGCTGATGCACTTGCCTCTAAGGTTCGATTCTTCTCCAGGGACGTCTGGCCGCGCTCCCGTGATTAAAGGCTCCTCCCAGGCTGGGCAGTTAGAGGCTGGTTCCTCTAACGTGTGGTCTTGTGCACAGCTCTGTTCTAGTGTGGGTGTGCTCTGGCCTTTGGCTAACCACTGCAGGACCACGCTGCCTGCGGAGCCCGGGAGGAGGGGGAGGGGGTTTTGTGAGAACATGAATTTGCACGTCTTGGGTCACTGGCCTAATGGCCCCATCTGTCTGCCCAGAAAGAGGTCCTCCTTGAAAAACACACAACAAAAACAATTCTTCCAACGCTGAGGACAGGGCCCCTGCCATTTATTAGCTCTAGAGAACGCTCACTGGGGGCTCAAGGTTCAGGGTTCAGAGACCAAGGTGTTGAAACGAAAAATCAGGACTTGGAAACATTTGCTGAAAAGGGGACTGAATGGTTGAAACCCAAATGCCCCCCCCCCGCCCCGCCTTTTTTTCAGAGCATCCAATACCAGTAACAATGGATATTTTTACACGCAGCCTTCTCTGGGGATAGAGGACACGGATCCAGGCAATGTCCTCCCACTGCAGAGTGGACTAAGCACACTTTGCCACACAATGGTAGTTCAGCAGCCCCTTACCTCACAATGCACCCATTTAGGCAGGGGACACCCTGTCATAAACATATTGCACAGCCTGAGATAAGCCTGCCACTTGCCTTTTTTTCACTTCCTGGTTCTGATCTTTATGCAATTTTCTAAGGCATAGAACAAGCTCAGAAACTGCTTTCGAGATAGTGTGTTAAGCAACGTCTATCAGCAGTTGCAGTTTGTCCCACAGGATTCATTACAACACCTTGGAGAGGAGTCAGCAAACTACTACCCAACCCACCACCTGTTTTATAGCCTATGAGCTACATGGCTGAAAAATGGCTGAAAAAATTCAAAAGAATTTTTTTGATGTGAAATTATATGAAATGCAAACTTCAGTGCCATGGATAAAGCCATGTTTATGCCTTACATATTGTTTACACTACTTTATCACTCCAAAAGCAGAGTTCAGTGGTTGTGACAGACATTGGCCTGGAAACACTGGAATATTTACAGTCTGGCCCTTCACAGAAAAAAGTTTGGCAATCCCTGCCTTAGAGCAATATGAGAGTTCCTACAGACCAAACCATCCATTGAATATACATCTCCTAATCTTTAATGTGAAAAAAAAAAAGATGCTGAAAAATGCAGGAAAGGAATCAGAATGACAGATCCACTTTTAACTATGCTAGTTTTATGTACAGTAAACTTGGGGACATCGGCTTTTTAATTTATCAATGCCATGAATAATCCAAGGAGAAATCCTTTTCCACATTAATAAATTTAACTATATTACAAATAATTTTTCGTGTACATCAAAACATCAAAGGAGAATGAAAAGACAAGCCACAAACTAGGAAAAGGTATTTCCCTCAAATAAAATCCACATTGACTAGTACCCAGATTATATAAAGAATTCCTAAAAATCAATGAGAAACAAAAACACTCAACTGGGTTTGCATTCAGATACCTGTAACAAAAATCCCCCAAATCTGGTGATTTAAACAAAACAAAAGTTTATTTTTTTCTTGCCTAAGTCTAGAATTATGGTGGCTTCGTGATCACCAGGAAGGTCATCTCTTGGTTCTGAATGGCTGCTATAGCTCGAGCCGTCCTGTTTGCATTTCAAGTAGCAGGAAAGAGAAAGATGGTGAGAAAAAAAAGTTGGATACCATTCAGCTGAGCCAGCAAAGTAAGGTGCTTTTCTAGAATTCCCAAATGACACTTCTACATACATCCCACTGGCCAGAACTTAATCATGTGGCCTACCTGAGTGCAAGTGTTAGCAAGGAGGAATAGATGGGGACAACCATTTTGAAAAACAATCTGGCATTATCTGGTAAAGTTGAAGATACACACATACTCTAACACCACAATTCTGATCCAGGAGTATATCCTAGAGAAATTGCTGCACATGTGTCCTAGGAGACAGGTATAAGAATATTCAGAGCATCTTTGTACAAAAATCAACAAATATAAATATCCTAAGTGTCCAATAATGCTGAATGGATACACTGAGGTCTTTTCATATAATTTAATATTACACAGCAAGTTTAATATACCAGTGGAAAATTGATAAACCATAGCTACACTTAACACAGATGGACTGCACAAGTATAATACTGAGAGAGGAAAAAAAGCAGGTTATAGAAAAAATGCACACAGTATGATTTCATCCATACAAAGGTTGAAAACATGCATGACTTTGCATTTAGGAATATGTACATATGTGACAAAGCTATGAAGAAAAGGAAATAAATGATATATACAATTCCAGAAATGGAATTGTAGAGGCACACACAGATGGCTTCCAAAGTATTGATAATTATATTAGGATACAAAACCACATGGCCTAAATATGATATGTGTATTTTTCTCTCACGTAGTGTCAGGCAGTTCTGGGCTGCTATGGCAATGCCAAAATGTCAGGGACACAAATTCCTTCCATTTTATTAGTCTGCCACCCTTAGGATGTTGCCCTTTGCCCTTGTGGTAAAAAATGGCTAACCATAAGTTCCAATCAATTGGAATGGTTAAAAAGAGAAGGCGATGCTGCGCTCATTTCCTTGCTGGGGCGTGGCCTAAAGTGTACACGTCACTTCTGCTCTTATCCTACTGGCCAGAACCTGGTCACATGACTGTACATAGAGGAAAGAAAGGCTGGAAATGTAGTTTTTAGCTGGCCAACCATTTGCCCAGCTAAATAATTTCTATTACTACTGAAAAGTGGGAAAATGGATAATGGAGGACCCTCTTGTTATCTCCCCCACAATTTTTAAACTTAGGTGGTAAGAACATGGTTTTCATTTTATTATTATTTATGCTATATATGTATAATCATTTTCTTTGGCAAATATGGAATATTTTATTTTATTATTTTTTTAAGATTTTATTTATAAAAAAAGATTTTATTTATTTATTTGACAGAAAGAGAGAGAGAGAGCCCACAAGTATGGGGAGCAGCAGAGGGAGAGGGAGAAGCAGGCTCTCTGCTGAGCAGGGAGCCTGTTGGGGGCGCTCACTCCCAGGACCCTGGGATCATGACCTGACCTGAAGGCAGATTTAACCGACTGAGCCACCCAGGCACCTGCTATAGCTCGAGCCGTCCTACCCAACCCACCACTCAGGCACCTGGGTGGCTCAGTCATTAAGTGTCTGTCTTCGGCTCTGGTCAGGATCCCAGGATCCTGGGATCAAGCCCCGCATCCCTGCATCAGGCTCCCTGCTCATAGGGAAGCCTGCTTCTCCCTCTCCCACTCCACCTGCTTGTGTTCCCTCTTTCACTGTGTCTCTCTCTGTCAAATAAATAAATAAAATCTTTAAAAAAAAGTAAAAGTAATAGAAAAATTAAAAGCACATTTATTTTTTTAACACTCATGCTCCTAAGCTACTTTCCCCCTGGTTTTTTTGTTTTGTTTTGTTTTTTGGCAAGTTTTTGGAAATTCAAATGAATTCAAGACCTAGTAAGGCCAACCTGCCTAATGTCAAAGAAAAGTAGATTAGAGATTTTCTATTATCTTATTTTTTGCATCATGGCTCCCTTTGATTATCATGGTGATTGATGTACACAGATTTTCCTTTTCTTGAACTAACATGGTAGCTTACATTTATGAGCTCCAACGAGGCACTATTCTAAGCATCAGGAGTTATTTCATTTAATATTCATAAAAATCCTGTGAAGTAGGTACAATTATTGTCTCCATTTTGCAGATTTTTTCACTGGAGCCCAGTGAGGTTCAACTTGCTACAATTGCACAACTAGAAAAGTGGTGAAGCAGGGACTCAAGACCACAGTCAGTCCAGACCCTATACTCCTTACCACTGCAAAATGCCACCTAATAAATTATATATATATTAAATATTGGACTTACAGTCAGAGAAAGACAAATACCATATGATTTCATGCATATGTGGAATCTAAGAAACAAAACAGATGAATGAACATAAGGGAAGGGAAAACAAAAAAAGAGAGGGAAGCAAACCATAAGAGACTATTAACTATAGAGGACAAACCGAGGGTCACTGGAGGGGAAGTGGGTGGGGGATGGGCTAAATGGGTGATGGGCGTTAAGGAAGGCACTTGTGTTAAGCACTGGGTGTTATCTATAAGTGATGAATCACTAAATTCTACTCTTGAAACCAATAAATAAATAAATAAATAAACAAATAAATATTGGACTTAGATGGGTATTTTTGTCAATATCAAACAGTCCAGTTTCTGTAGATCATGTAGATTTTGTGCCATTCCAGTCCATTCTAAATATTATGTAAAAAATTGTTTTACCTAAATACTAAAACTGACGATGAATTCCCCTGTTTAGATGCCTTTGGTAAAGCCCAACCTCCCTAGCTTGGCATTTGAAGGCTGAATCT